CATCTAAATTATAACTGATTTTTTTTTTTATCGCTAAGCTTCATCTAAAATGCAGGATACTCTGTACTTTTCAAAATATTTTTTTAAAAATTTTATCCTTGTATTAATTAACATGGGTATAAGAAAAATTTCACTAAACATTTTTTCTCACTTTAACTTCATAATGGCTGAGGCCAAGAGGAAAACACGTACAAATTTTTGATAGAAGTAATGAAATAACTATCTTTTATTTAACGTGAAATATAACTGGAAGTATTTTACTATTTGAATCAGACTGAGAATTATTCACTTAACCACCATCATTGACAAGTCTTATGATTGTTCTAAAAGCATCAAGTAATAATAATACATGCATGGTCATTTTTTTTTTTTTACCACCGCATGGCAGCCATTAAATTAAGTGAACTGATAAGATTGTATGTAAAGAGATGTATTGAGAGAAAGTAAGTAAATTTTCTAAATCCTTACTTACATGGTGAAGAAGTTAAGATTATATAATTTCAGTGTGATTTCATCATTCCCAACCACCCAGACCATTAATATCTTTCCATCTCCACAAGTTATTGTTGCATTATCAATTTGTATGATGATCCTTGTTTACTATTATTGTGTGACCTCATTAATTTTCGCCACCCTCATTTGCCACCAAAATTGTAGTACCTTTTCTCTAGCTTGTTTTTAAAAATGTTTTCTTTCAGCAGTAAAATGTTTTCTTGATGAATGCAATTATATCTCAGAGCTTTTTCTTATTGGATTATTGAATTTTTTTAAGACAGTACACCATTAACTTCATTGCCCACATTACTCAAGCAAACATTAATTGGACAAGTTTGTGTATTGTACATGTCTATTTTCTTAGCGAATCAGAACATGGCAAAATTTTTGGACATGTATCAGTCAATTGTGTATTGGACAAGTTGATGCGCATTGGACATTTGTGGACCTTCATTGGAACCTTTTATTCTGGACAAAATGACTTTTAAGTCTCAAAAAAATGAATTAATAATAGTTTGATTATCAAAAAAAAATTTACAAAATAAATTATAAATATCAATTCAAACAATTATAAATAATTTTTTTTTGTTTCAAGTTAAAAGTTACATTTGATATTTAAATATTTTTTTACAATTGAAACTCCTGAATTTATAATAATTTAGATTGATGTTTTCAATTTATTTTTTTTAAAAAATTATTGATGACTTAATTGTCATTAATTCATTCATTTGTGGCCTAACTGCTATTCTCCCTTCATTTTTTCATGATACTATTTTTCAGTTTTGAATAGTCTTTGTTAGGCTTTTGCTTTTTCCACTGGATGATTGGATAAATTTTAAAATTTTGGTACCAATATAGATAAGAATTTAATTCATATTTCACAAGGTGAATGGGTTGAAATCTCACTACAAATATAGAGTACATTATTAATGGGCATTTTGTAAGTACTTGTAATACATTGTTTGAGTCCATACATCATAGGTATATATTGAATCTGATGAGCTCTCAAGATTTTAATTCACCAAGCGTTTAGTTTATCAAGCTTTTTTAAATTTATGAAATATTCACACATTTAGGTCAGTGGATGCTTTCATTCGCATGTGAAGCTTGATAATGTGATATGAACCGATCTTTCTTATTCTCCAAGCTGACTCATCTTGAACCTGACTTGCTGGCCCATCACTAATTTAATTGGGCCATACTGCCCATCATTACCACAAAAGTTGGCCCATAAGTTTTTGTACGGACATTAATTATTTAATTTGAAAGGGCTTGATAACCGCTCTATCCGTATGCTCATTTTATCATTTACGAAGCTATATATTTTTGCCTAACTCTTAGTTAAACCACGGTTGATTAGTCACAATGTGGATGAAATTGTTTTCTTGTTTATTGAGACTCTAAATATTCTGTTGTACGTTATGTACAAAGAAAAAAAGCGGGATCCGATCTGTTGCGATTAGCCAATTGCAGATTGCAGAAGTTACATTTTCTGCCATGTATCAGTCAATTTTTAAAACTGATTTTTTCTTTTTTCTTTTTTTGGCAACAATCTTTAAAACTGATTGAACTAATAAATTTAACCCAAAATTCATAAGTTAATCATGACAAAAATTCAGTCGATTTATGAAATTCATTTAGAAAATGGATGGATAAAAAGATAAAAATTGACAACTTATATTTAAAAAAAATCAGAACCAACTCCTCATATTTACTCAATCTTAGTGTATGTTTTGTTTTTCATTAACCAAAAATCAATTTATCAAAAATTCATCTAACAAAAGTTAATTTAGTGAAAGTTAGTTATTATAATAAAATTTATGTTTTAATTTTTTAAAAGTCATATTGATAAACTGAAAGTTATTTAAATTATGATAATAAAATGTATTTTTAAATGAATAATTATTAAAATGGACATTGATTTATGATTATTTATAATTTTTATTATAAATCTAATATATTTGAAATGTTTAAAAAATGTGATAAAATATTTAAATAACATAAATTTGATATGTTAAATAATAAAAATAAAAAATATAAATTTTGATATATTGAAAAAATTATATAATAAATAGTTCAAATACATTAATATTAAAAAATAATATGATTCAAAAAATATATATGATAATTTTTTTATTCAAAAAAGCTTAACCAACTAAACAAACATTTGTTGAGTAATAAAAATTTTAAATAAAATAAAATTTGATATATTAAATAACATCCCACATTTTAAAAGTAAAAAAATAGGTACTTAAATACATCGATCATTCAGCACAAAGTTTTAAATCTTAAAATATTGGATAGAAGTTAATTTGATAGGAAATTTGTAACAATCATGTTCCCTTATAAAAAAGTTTAAAAATAAGTTACAATTATTATATCAAACAGTTATAAATAAGAATTTTAAATCTAAATGAGAGTTATATTTAAAATTTAAATGTCTTATTTACACTTAAAACTTTTAAATTTATAACAATCTAAATCAATAGTTATAGCTGATTTTTTAAAAATTATTAAGGATCGAACTATCATAAAAAAAGATTGTTCCAAAAAAAGAAGGGGAAAAAAAAAAAAGCAAGGCTCAGTTAGACAATGTGGTGAACGTTAGAGCAGTTAAGCAACAGCGCGGGAAAATAGCGCGTGCGTAACGTTATTATTGATGAACAGATTAAACATCCAGAAGCGCGCGAGCGAGAGTCTCATTTGTGGGGTTTGGTGCGAAGAGGACTGACAGATGGGCTCGTGACTCGTGAGTTTTTGGATAACATAATCGATCCCATTTCCCTGAAAATCTCGTCCTTCTTCAAGAAACCATGTGTCCATGATGCAATTCGCATTATCACTCCGTTATCCCACCAATCACTTCCCGCGTCGTCGTTTCAGAATTCTGAGCACTGCGTCATCGGAAAAGTTATATTCACCATTTCTCCGATTCAAGATTCCGTTCCCAACAATTCATTTTCCGACTGCTTCGGCTTTTATGCTCTCTAAGTACGTGATTTCCGCACTAACTGCTTTAATCAATTTCATTTCCATTCCACATTCCTTGACTGGATCTGTTTCTCCCATTACAATGTTGGGATTGAAACAAATCATGACGTAGTGTATGAAGTAACGGATGCTTGACTGGGTTTGTTTCTGGCATTAATCTTCAAAAGCCATGTAGTACCGTTTGATGATCTGTTTTTATATTTATGCAGCTGTATTGGAGAGTGGATCACAAAGTGAGGTTAAGTTGGATCGCAGATATTGTGAATCATTTATGGAGGTCAATAATTCAATTCCAGTACCGCCACCCCCTTTGCCTAGGTCGGCATTAACCAGCTGCACAAGCCAGAAAAAGTTTGTGAACAATTTAACGCCAAGGAAGTGCAGCTATGTGTCCCCGGCAACAAGAGATTTGTGGGATCGTCTTTTCGACGAAGGCTATAAAGCAGATGTTGGCATTAATACTCGTAACGGTGGTATTATTTTTGCTCATTCTCACATTCTTGTAAGTTTATTCATTTCAATTGAATTTGTACCTTAGTCGTATAATATTAGTATGCTGAAATCATAATTGCTTCTTTACTAACAATTATGTGAGTGGATGTTTACGTTACTTGCTGAATCCATGCCACTTACATGATACCGTAAGAACAGCGAATGGGTTCTCCAGTTTTGAGAGGCATGCTAAAGCAAGCAAGTCGTCGTTATGGTCGGCGATCTATTTCCATTCTCGGGGTTCCACATGACGCAGTCCGAGTTTTCATTCGATTCTTGTATTCTTCGTGGTATGTTCTATCCCTTTTATTTACCTCACAATCTTCAGAACAGGCTCAGGCGCTCTTAAAAGTTTTACTCTGTTCTTACATCTTAATTTTTTCGGTCACTATATCTCCTATAGTTTATTAGTTTGTAGCAGCGCTCTTAAAAAAAAAATTCTAATTTTGCTCTTGTTAATCTTATGGCAAAAATTTCATGCTAGGGTCAACAAGAAGTATAAATTTTCAAATTATTGGGATTAAATTTATGGTCACATTTGCTCATTAGAATAAAATAGAATGAAATGGATTGAAAAAATTAAGGGGGAAAAAAATCATCCTTCTCCTATATTAAGTATGATAAAATTAATATATATAAAAAAAGTGACGATCATTACACCCTTCAAAAATTACATGAATCATTATTCTCAACTACATTAACTAAATTACCCCCTCTTTTATAAATGTGTTCACTTATTTTTTTTGATCATTTTATTTTTTAATCCATTCCATTATATTATATTTTAATAAGCAAACGTAACTTGTAGTGAAATTCTATAAGAATAGCACAATTACTTGACCGTAGCAACTGTTGGGAATCATGACTGTTTTGACGCTTTCTTTGATAGCTATGAGAAAGAAGAAATGGAAGAACTGGTCTTGCCTTTATTGGTGCTGTCACATGCATTTGTTGTCCCTCACTTGAAGCGTGAATGTGAAGAAAAGCTAGAGATGAGTTCGCTCACTATAGACAACGTAGTTGACGTATTTCAGCTTTCATTGCTATGTGATGCTCCCCGGCTGAGCCTAATTTGTTACCGAATGATCTCAAAGAATCTCAAACCTGTTTCAGAGTCTGAAGGTTGGGAAGCAATGAAGCAGAGTCACCCATTTCTGGAATCCGAACTTCTCGAATACATAACCATGGAAGAGAATGTAAAATATCCCGTCTTCTCTTTAATTGCTCTCGATTTTTCTTGTCTTTTCTGGATCTGATTTTTTTTTTTTTTTGGTGGGATGAATTCACAACCAGAGAAAGAAGATGAGGAAGAGGAAGAGTGAAGAAAGGAAGATCCATATAGAACTGTACGAGGCAATGGAAGCACTGGTTCACATCTGTAGAGATGGGTGTCGAACTATTGGTCCACGCGATAAAGATTTAAAAACGAACGACGCTCCTTGTGGCTATGCAGCCTGCAAGGGGATAGAATTGCTTATTCGTCATTTTGTTGCCTGTAAATTGAGGGTCCCACGTGGTTGCATTCATTGTAAGAGAATGTGGCAACTATTTGAGTTACATTCTCGATTATGTGCTGATCCACATATCTGTAAAGTTCCTTTATGCAGGTAATTTATCTAAATACTAATGGATTAATTAACTTTTCTATTTATATAACATTTAATGTTCGTAAGCCAAATTGTTATTCTCACCTCTCAATTATCTTAAACCCATATGAATCCTGTCGTTTCAGGAGTTTCAAGCAAAAAATATCAAATCAAAGAAAGAGAGATGAGATGAAGTGGAAAATATTGGTTCAGAAGATTTTGAGAACAAAGGGCATTGCTGTGGCACCAATTTTTCAACAGCAATAGCCCAAACTTGGCGGGAATGAAACGAAATTGGTGCGGAATAAACTTCAAGTTGAATATTGTCCATCCATGTGCAAATATATGAAAGCTTCAAATTGTAAATTTGTAGTACAGGGTAAACTTCGATTTTATTACCTTTGTTGGTGATGAGAAACAATACCACAACTAAGCTTTTGCGAATTTAACATGTGAGACAATCCAGAGCACAATGTTGTTCCTTTCTGCATTTACCACAAAATTTTTGTACTCGCTTTTCTCAGATGAAGTGCTAGGAAATAGGATCTGATCAAGAAATGCGGCAAAACTGCTATTTATTGTTAATAATTGATTAAAAAATTACATATAAGAGCCTCTTGGGTGAAATCAATGCATTATAAAATATGAAAATTTGTAGAACTATGATCTAATAAAACCTATCTCAACTATGGTATATGTGCTGGAATCAAAAAAACAAAAAAGATGTGTGTCGTGCACTTCCCATTGAGAAATTGAAGTTTGTTTCATATTATGTTTGAACTTTGAACATAAGCCTCTGCCTCCTTCCTCTGTAAACCAGAAAGTACTTACCACAGCTTCTTGTTGTCTCCCCAACATTTACATAGCAATTTCAGGGAACCATTTTTATTCATAAAGCTGTACTCTTCCAGTGATACTTCGGAATGAAATCTTGGTATAGTAGAACTATCCTTTTCCTGAGAAACTATTGTTGCTTCATATTTTACAGTACTATGGAGATGAACTTTCTTCATCTGAACTTCTATCTTGTCTTGCATGGTACTTGTTGAGAACAGGCAGTGATGCACTAGCAGCTATCCTGAAAGATCTTGCAGCACCAACCATAACTCTATCCTGCATCCTTCCAACTTCTTTGCACACTTGATCCAAAATATTTAGAAAGTCCCTTACAATCATGAAGATTCTGAGAGGGTGGGCTTCTTCCTTTGCTGTATCCCCATGAAAGTACTCTGTCACTTCTTTCACAAGTAATAAAGCCTTTCTTTCATCATCCTTAATCCTAACAATTTTCTCTTCAGCATCTCTCAGAAATAGCTTCATGGAGTTGAAGAAATTCCCTTCCATATCTGATTTTTCGTATAGCATAACAGATCTCACTTTCTCAAGCCCCATTTCGAGCTTTGCGACATAGCTGCTTAAGACATCTGAATCCATTGTTGCTGCTTTCTTGACATTGCTGAGGTCTCTACCTAGTCCAGACACAACCTGCAATCCTTGCTTCTTGAATTCATCCTCATTGAATTTGGAACTCATTTTCTCCTGAACACTCTCATGTGCGGAATCACTGCCTGCACCTTCAGATCTAATGATCTCTTGGACCACAAAGTGAAGCAATGTAGTCTTACCATCAGTTCCCTTTATGTCCACCAGTTTTAGCAGCGTCTCCAGTTTAAAAGCTTTAGCATCACCACGATTGGTGCCAACATTCATTCTGTTTCCTGTCCTAAGAACAGCTTCGAGCAGTTTGAGGAACAGCCGACTGTTCTTCAATTCCTCACTTGCTGCCTGGTAACACAGAGACAAATAATTGGTTAATTTCTCAGGAGACAACCGTGAATGTAATTGCAGGAAAGAAACCAAGAGAGCTAGACCTTGATTTAAGCTATTGTTACCTCAAGGGATTGAAAAGACTTCTTCAGGTAATTAACTTCAGTATCAAAGTTAGCTCTGTATAGCAAGGCCTCGACTCTTTTAAAAGCAAAAGGGATATCAAGCACCGCTTTGAGAAATCTTTCTGCAGACCCAAGTTTTGAAAGGTCACCATCATACTTTTTAAGCTTTATCTCTTCCTCCTTAGTGGGAGCCATCTTTACCAGAGTTTCAAACAGCTCAGTACCCAAACCTTCAGGATTACCTGCTTTGTCCAAAAACAATATTTGACATTTGTTACACTTACTTATTCAGTGAAGTAAATAAACCAGAAACATCAGATATGGAGTAAAAAAAATATTATAAATCAAAATTAATTCAACTAAGACTGTAAAGTAAAATATGAAATCAACCTTCACATTTAGATAATACGAATTGAGGATTGGTACATCCATAACTGGAGATCAAGATGGTGAATTTGCAAAAGATGGAAGAATGAAAGAGTAAGGATGGAAGAAACTGGAAAGAAATTTGAGTTAAAAGGAAGAGAAAGAGTATTTCAACAATGATTGGGAGAACTTAAGCAAGCATGATGTAGATATATGGAGTCCTATCTATATGATGCAAATTAATTAATGAGAAATAACTCGCAGAGAACAGCCAGACTTTTCTCATTTGTGATATTCGTGGCTCAGAAAGCAGGGCTCTTGCTTTAAGAGGAAGCTAGATAGTCACAACTGATGGAGAAGGGTTATGTGAATGGTAAGGATGATTGGAAGGATTAACTGATTGTTCACAGCGGCAGTGAATATCAACACTTCCTCAGAAGAAGGGGAAGGAAACAGTTTTGGGAATATTTTGTTTGATTTCTTCTTCATCCCAAGGCAGTTGAAGAACAAGAGTGATCATAAACCAACGTGTTCAAATCTATGCTTCTGAAAGGATGTCTAATAATTGGACCACTAAAGACATTGAGCTAGATTTCTTATACTTAATATAGATGTAAAGAATGATGATGATGCCTTTTTTAGTTTTGTTTGTTTGATTTCTTGAACCATGCAGTTTTCTTTTAGATTCTCTTTGCTTGTATTGTTGGGAAATTGCTATGGGGAAAATACGAGCTTGTGACTCCATATTTTGCAGGATTCTACAAACACACACACTCACACACTATACATACATTGAACGTGTCTTTTTACATGTGTTACAGAAGTAGTACTCTGCAGGTGACATCCAATTGTGTAACTAAAATAATTGAGAGACACTAGTGATCAAGAACGATTTGCGTGTCCATGAACTTGTGAATAAATCAACTTACCGTCCAAAAGAGCTTCGCACACTTCATCTCTCGTCACATTTAGTGCCCTTAGCAGTATAGCTATGTTCTGTGACTTCTTCGGGTCCAGCACCTTCTCTTCCTGATCAACAGGAGGAAGAACTAATTTTCTTGGAGGTTCTCTGGGAACGACATTTGTAGAATTGCAGCCAAACAGGCTCTCCATCATGTCCTCATTCAGTCTACATAATTTTTTTTTTTTTTAAGGAACACTTATTAGCTCATAGTTAGTTTCAAGTACTAGCCCAGAGTTGTAGTGAATGGCAATTTTACTTACTGAAATGAGCTTGATTTTAGCTGGTCCCACACAGTAGCACGATCTGAGGTTGCTCGCACTTTATCCCAGTGCAAAGCCTTTAACTTGGGTTTCCCTCCGTCCATGTCATCGGCTTCCATCCTCTCGGAAGAGGCGAGCCTTTGATCAACATGCTCAGAGTCTGAAGCTTTTGTTACACTTTTACCAGAAGCAGCTCCTTCACTTGCAGACCACGACTGTTGCTTTCTCGATGGAGAGGATGAGGGAACACTAATTGCCGGAGAAACTGTTTTCCTTGGTGTTGTTTGAGGGTGTCGCGGTGGAGGAGGAGGGGGTGGCGGAGGCGGAGGAGGATATTTTGGGGAAGTCCTCGACGTGTCCTGGAGTGTGGAGTCTGTTGACCGGAGATGCATCAAATTCGGTGCCGGAGGTGGCGCTGAGAATTTAGGCCTTCTAGAAGCACCGGAGGCCACTTGTTTATCTACATGCTGAAACGGTGTCGATCGAGGTGGCGGAGGAGGAGGAGGCGGTGGAGTCTGCTTTATAGATGGTATAATGACAGGCCTTACCTCCGGCGAAGAAGCAGACAAGCGAGATTTTGGTGACGTTCTCTTTGAAAAAGGATGATAATTAGTGGAATGAGCCTCACTCCTTGTAGTCACCGTCGGGCTACCGTTAGCCAGAGAACTCTGGCGCGAAATTGGAGTATAATAGCCATCCTCGCAGCTCACCGATGATCCGTGCGGCGTATGAAACGCCATGTCGTGGCTTTCCTCGTCGGACGAAGACGACGACGACGAAGATATCGCCGGAGGGTAATTCCCATCTGGTGGCTTAGTTAGCGGCGGCAATGGCTGCAATTCAGGGCTTGGCCGGTACCGATCGGATCGCTTTGGAGGATTCAGCTTATGATAAGGCGACTTGTTTCCTCCGTTGGACTCGATGGGCTCACTTACTGATTCAGTTCGTGGAGGCTCCACCGTCCCAATGTACAGAAAGTTCGACGGTGGGGCCCCCGAAGAATCCTCCTCAATCCCCCGAGAATTCCCACCCACGAGCTTCTGGGTCTCACTAGGGTGCTTCACACGGTGTCTGTACAAGAAGAAGGCAAGTGCCGAGAGCATACCGAGCGTCACAATTCCAACAGACATGGCAATTGCGACCTTCTTCGTGGGCTTGTTCGCCGGCGTTGTCGCCGTCGGGTTCGAAACTATTGTCCCATTGGGAATCGCCGGCGGTGTCTGATTCTGATCTGGCGTTGGTCCCACGGGATTCTCGTGAAAGAAAGGAATGTCGGGAGAAGATGGGGTGTCCGGAGGCGGCGGTGGCGGCGACTCGACTGCGGCTGGTGGTGGAGCAGAACCTTCCGGGAACAACGGTTGGTGCAGAATTCTTCTCGCCTGATATTCATGGAAAGTTCTGAAGCTGATAGCTTTGGTCCCGTCTGCCGTGTGTGGCTCAATGCACACGGATAATGATATGATATGAAAGAAGATAAAGAAAGGAACTCTCATGCTGAATTATGCTGGGTTTTGCAAATTCTCTTCTCGCTATCGGAATTCATTTCCAGATTTTGGTTAGCTTCTGCAGAGTCCTGAGCTCGAGAGATGCGAGTGAAGGTGAGAGGAAGCTTGTGTCGGTTGTCATGTAAGATCTTGGCACTGAGACAGATTCCGTCAGCAGGAGCCGCGATTTTTCTATTCTAATTAATAAATTACTCTCTCCAGCCCCATTTATAAATTCTATTTTAAAAAGTATATTTAATTCCATTTATAAATTATGGTACATCTTTTTAAATAATATTTGAGAGTTATTTTTAAAATTACTCTTCATGAGACAAAAAAAGTAACAAAATATTATTTTTTAGATTTATTATATAGGAACATGTTTAGAATTTTACTTACTTTTATTTCTTCTACTTTTATTATATTGATATTGATGAGGTTGATAGAAATGACTTATAAATAAG